CATACGTTCCACCAACATAAATGTGTATGTTTCATATGAGTTTTACATATGTTTTGCATGTGCTGTCAATTAGGATATGTATACGTACCCTCTCATCAGGCTCCTATAGACGGAAGCCCTGGAGGCTTTTGAGTTTCAGCTACATCATATTACACATCAAGCTAACAACCAGCTGCACACGCAAAGGCTAATAGAGCTGCCGTGGTGAGAAACACTAACCACAGGCAAAGAACTGAATGAATGCAAATGAGTTCGCATGGATCGAAAATGCCATAAAACATCGAACCAGAACAAGAAGCCTGTGTTCAAGACAAACACACTCTGCGACAGCACGTCAGAGCCAGCACTGCTAAACTCAGATGCATTGTCCTTGCGTAATTAAAAGCGATCGGGGAGGTACCTGGCGGCAATGCGAGAGACATGCAGCAATGTGGCAACTTAGCTAAACATGGTGTGCATGTGACACATAGGCAAACATGGCTTGGATGCAGTTTCTACAAAACATGCCGGCATCGCTTCCACAAAGTTTCTATCAAACATGCACTTATAGCCTTTTCCCACGTTGGGCCAAAGCGAAACATGCCAGCATCGCTTCCTGCGCGCAAGTAAGACATGGCCAAACATGGCCTGCACACAGTTTGATGTAAAACATGCCAGCATCGCTTCCACAAAGTTTCTATCAAACATGCACAAGGCCTCTTCCCACGTTGGGCCAAAGCGAAACATGGGAAACATGCCAGCATCGCTTCCAGAACGTTTCTATCAAACATGCACAAGGCCTCTTCCCACGATGGGCCAAAGCGAAACATGCCAAACATGCCAAACATGCCAGCATCGCCTCCACTAAGTTTCTATCAAACATGCAGAAGCAGGCCAGCATCGCTTCCACAAAGTATCTATCAAACACGCACAAGGCCTCTTCCCACATTGAGCCAAAGCGACCAGACCAGAAATAGATAACCAAGTGACGAAGTAGCAAATACAGCCAAACACTGTGTGCAAGTAAGACATGGCCAAACATGGCCTGCACGCAGTTGGCTGCAACATATGCAAACATCGCTTCCGCAAAGTTTCTATCAAACAGGCACAAAAGTAAAACATGCAAAACGTAGGTCGATGTGAGCAAGTGCCACGGCTGCCACACAACTTCACTTGTCGCAAAGCGAGCGTCGATGTCGCCGAATGCCACGCCCGCCACGCCAAGAGAGCCAGCCCAGTCCCATAAGTGCCACGCCTGCTACGCAAAACTGCCAAGTGCCACGCCTGCCAAGCAAAACGAAGGTCGATGTCGCCAAGTGCCACGCCTGCACGCCTGCCACGCCAAGAGAGCCCCCAGTGCCATAAGTGCCGCGCCTGCCACGCAAAGAGAGTGCGGATGTCTGACAGTGCCACGCCTGCCACGCAAAACGAAGGTGAATGTCGCCAAGCGCCACGCCTGCCACGTGAAACGAAGGTGGAGGTCGCCAAGCGCCACGCCTGCCACGCAAAGTGCCGCGGCGTCACGGCGACTAACGGCACCCAAGCGCGCCACCAGAGCCAGCCCAGTGCCACAAGCGGCCACGCAAAGAGAGTCGGATGTCTGAAAGTGCCAAAGAGGTGTGTGACAAAGAGGCATGTGTAACAAAGTTGTGTGTGAAAGGTGGTGTGTAACGAAGTTGTCTGTGACAAAGTTGTGTGTGAAAGATGGTGTGTGACAAAGTTGTGGGTGACAAAGAGGGGTGTGACAAAGCTCTGTGTGAAAGATGGTGTGTGGCAAAGAGGTGTGTGACAAAGTTGTGTGTGAAAGATGGTGTGTAACAAAGTTGTGTGTGACAAAGTTGTGTGTGAAAGATGGTGTGTGACAAAGTTGTGTGTGACAAAGAGGGGTGTGATAAAGCTCTGTGTGAAAGATGGTGTGTGGCAAAGAGGTGTGTGACAAAGTTGTGTGTGAAAGATGGTGTGTAACAAAGTTGTGTGTGACAAAGTTGTGTGTGAAAGATGGTGTGTGACAAAGTTGTGTGTGACAAAGAGGGGTGTGACAAAGTTGTGTGTGTGACAAAGAGGTGTGTGACAAAGTTGTGTGTGAAAGATGCTGTGCAACAAAGTTGTGTGTGTGACAAAGTTGTGCGTGAAAGATGGTGTGTGACAAAGTTGTGGGTGACAAAGAGAGGTGTGACAAAGTTGTGTGTGAAAGATGGTGTGTGACAAAGAGGTGTGTGACAATGAAGTGTGAACGATGGTGTTGAGGCGGCTGAGCGGGAGGCGGACGAGGAGCGGGATACAGAAGCAAAAACAAGAACCCCACACAAAGATGTGGGGAAAAAAACATGTTTGACAGACTTTGCCATTATAATTTTTGCAGGAATCCATACCCTTTCAGAAGAGTGTTGCATGCATCGGACAAGTTTATTCTCGATCCTCCATGCGGCTCTGATAACACATCTGGGCTCATGGATGCAGAGAGGCTTCGCAGCAGCGCCTAATGTTCTCAATCCTTTTTCCAATGGTGGCACGCTTTCTAAAGGAATACTGCACATTTTGAAGGCCTCTTTGAAGGACTGCTGCATTTGTTGAAAATTTTTACTTTAAACTTTAAACATTTTTGAAGTGATGGCAAACTGCCTTAAGGAATACCAAACTCTTTGAAGAGATGTTTCACTCCTTGGAATGGTATTGCCCACAATAATAGTGCTACGATGTGCTACGCTCTCTTGACAGAACATAAGAATCATATAGAATCATCATATAACACTGTCGAACAACACATTTTAATACTACTGGTACCATACTTACTTAAGAGAGTAATGCATGCATTGAACACATTTATGATATATAAAGTAGTGTTGCGCTCTCTCAGAGGAATGTTCCACCATGTTTCTGTCCTTTCCCAAGGAATGCTATACCTTTGAAAGGTTCTTTCAAAGTATTTTGCATCTAGTGAAGGGTTCTAGTTAAAAACAATGTGACATTTCCTCAAAGAATTATTGCACATTCTTGCACTGATTTCCAGAAATGTGCAACTCTTCTTAATGGAACATTGCAACAAGTGACGCATCGCAATACTATGTCACAAGAGTACGGCATCCAGTCAAGGACCATCTTTGAAGGAAAACTGTTTCAAAGTACTGCACCATACTGCACCTATTTAAGCATTCTACATATTCTGAAGCATTCTACTACAAAGCAATATTGTTTTATGTTGTTTTTGGGGTCATCGCCCCGAGGCGGGCGAAGGGTTCTTCGTGCTGCATCCCTTCATTGCCAGCATTTGACATATGTTGACACGTTGCGGATGTCATGTTGCAAATGTTTACATATGTTTACATGATTTTACAATATTTTACATGTATGCAGATGTTCTCGCATGCTCAACGGGGGGGTGTGGGGGGGTGTAATAACGTCCCTGACGACTTGAAGACGGTTGCACATAAGCGTCAAGTTTTCGTTCGTTGCAACAGGTGGGGTAGGAACAATTGGCGTCATTTGACACGTTGCTGGTTTGTAATTACATGTACGTTGGAGATGCTCGCTGATATTCACCGATGGGTGATATATATATATATACATATAGATATATTATATTATATATATATATACAGAATGATGCAAACATACAGACATACATATCACATATGTATAACACGTGTGAATCGAACATCTGTCTATGGCACCCTCCTGGTGGACGGATCACTGCTGAGTTGCAGCCGAGCCTCGGGGATACCGTTCAGACCTTTTGCAACGACTGCAACGACCAATGCACCCAGGGCCGAAGGGCCGAAGGGGCATTGGTCCAACGTTAAGTCCAACGCATTCATTATCATTATAACACATTATTTATCATTCATTTGGACCATTTGGACATATTTGGACCAATGTGTTCTCGTTCCGTATTCACTTTGAGTTTTTCATCGCAGTCCAAACCTGTGCAAGCAGTGCTGTAGGCCAGCTCAAGTACTCGATGCGCATGAAGAGGCAACTGCAGCTTGCAGTATTTTTGGTGTAGCAACGCAACATGAAGCAAATGGAATCCAATGAAATCGAATCGATGGAATGAAGCGAATCATCTGAATCCTAGACACACGGTCACTTGAGTCACATGAGGATGGAACTGGAGACGAAGTCGGTGAAATCCCTGGTGATTCTGGTGATGTTGATGACCAAGAACTCGCCGCCCTCTTGGGAGCTGCTCTGGAGGACACAACACACTGGGCTGAGACTCAGCTGAGAGCACAGATGTAAACATCGAATCACGTATATAGTAAATAAAGAACAAGTATGAAGAACAAGTCAATACTAGTGCAACATATATATCTTTACACAATGCGTACTTCCCTGTAAAAGAACGTTTTACATTTTCCCATACATTCTGAAAAACGGTATCAGATATCAGCATCGCAGTCTATTTCGGCCAGTACACCACAAGTCTAGCTCTGGTTGACTGATCCTAGCGGTCCTAGCACTCGATACATTGTTTCCATTTGTTTCCTAGCTTTGCAAGTGCAGTATCCGCTGCGAGGAGGAGTCTGTGATGGAGCCAGAGGAAAGTCTCCCAACAGAATGATTCTGGCTTTATCTTGTCCAAAGTCAATGTAGTGCTTGCAGCATGTTATGGACTGAGCTGCTCTAAGCCAGCTTAGAGATTGAGGCTTAAGAAAGCCCAAACCAAAACACGTGCTGTCTGAAACTAGCGGTGAGTTTGTGACCCACACAGTGATGATAGGAACAAAGCCTTATCAGCCTGCAGTCTGGACACGCTGGTCACTTTAGGTCTCATAATTTATATCGAGATTGCCCAAAATGGGCAAGCGTTAATGGCTACCTCGCGTGTTGTCACAGGTGTTTTCTTGCTGTGACGCCGTGCGAAAATCAGTTGGCTTGCTGGAGCCGAGAGACCTGTCATGAGAAGCGTGGAAGCTCCCGCGCTTTTTGAAAGCTTCTAAAAAATTGCCGCGTCAACACTTTGGTCTCAAATAATTAGGTCTGAAATGCACCCAGGAAATCCCAAGCGACACTCATTGCAGGTTTGTGGAGTTCTTCCTGGACCTACATGCCCTGAGCAGAAGGAGCTCAAAAGACCGCTTCTTATTGGTTGGTGTGTTCATAGATTTGCTTGAAGCTGGCCCCCAACGCCCCCTACGCATTCAAACATTGGTTCCTCAACAAGCAGTTGCCAATTCATTTTGTGCTCTCCATCAGGAAAAAGTTGAAAGCGGGCCCATTGCAGATGCATAGCAGATGGGAAAATGTTGGTGGGTGGTGGGTGGTGGGTGAGTGGGTGAGTGGGCTGGCGGGTGGGTGAGTGGGTGAGTGGGCTGGCGGGTGGGTGAGTGGTGGCGGTCGTGGTTTGTCTTGAGACATGTTTGCTTCATGCCACATGCCTCATATTATTGATTATTATATTATATTATTATTGTATATCATATTTTGAAAGATGTCCTGTCCGCCACGCGGTTTTGGTCTTGAAACCTCTGTTCTGTGAACACGGATTCTTATAGATTTGAAAAAACGGTTGCCCTCGAAAAAGTTTTTTGCACTCACTTTGGGTGGGAATTTGCCCGTGGTTTCGAGTATTTGCTTGTTGAAATATGCAAACATGTAATGTATTTATTTGTGCGTCCGACGCTTGCCCGAAGGATGTGGACCCTTTGTATGCTGAACTTTGTGGGCGCGGAATACGGCCGGGAATCCCTTGGTGAAAATGTCTTTGCCAAGTCTTTGCTTGTTGATCTTGTTGCTTTCCCTCACGGACGCCAACACAAAACGCAAGGCATCGGATAGATGATGCTTGGGCAGTCATTTCGAAGGACAGCTGGCGACCTTCGCACAATAGCACAATGCCATGTGACACTACTGGAAGATACTGGAACCAGTGTTTTGCTTGATGGTTTTACCAGTAGCATTTGCAGGGCTGTGCCAACACAACTGCATTGATGCTTCAAAAGGCAGGGATACATCGGAAACACACCTAACCTAACCCATCCTGAGCCTGAATCTAAACCTATCAGAACGAGACAGAGTATCGATGAAGCAACACAGCAAGCAAAGTCATCCTGCTTTGAAGCATGTAGACTGCATGATACATCATGATACTACATGTAGACTTGCCAAATGTCTTGTGAACTCTTTGTGCGAAGCCCTTTCACTTTGGAGGCCGACGAACTGTTTGCCATCAAGTTTGCTGCACAGGCGGCCACGTTGACCTTTCTGGATCCGATTGGATTCGAGTCGTTCATGTTGTTCTTGTAGACGCACACACGGAACAGATGCCGGTCATGAAATTGACAAACGGATTTGAAGAGTATCAATACGTCAGAAAAACATAGAAAAACCGTCTAAGCTTGAGATTCAACACACGGGAAGGCACCCGTGATTTCACAGGCAACCTGGTTGCGCTCTATATACACAATATGTGCAGATATGTGCAGCACATCTGCAACGTTGTGACAGATTGGAGACTTTGATGCTCGCGTCTACCACGAGTGCCTGCATTTGGTTGCGGCCCACCAAGGGTTTAAGGAGCCGTTTGCCTGATTTTGTTCATCATCACGGCTGCACAATGCTGCACATTTCAGCTGGTTTTACATGTACCGGAGGCTTGCATGGTCTAAAGTTTAAAGAATAGGGGCATGCAGTACTTGAAGACTGCAGCGCCTTTGACAGACGAAAGAAAGCCATTCGCATCATTTTAAGATGTGGGTGGATGTCACCATGCATCCTTCGATGATGTACAAGTCAACTGCTTTCGACTATGTCACTATGTTCTGCAATTCCCAGTAGCTTTCTGTAGCTATTGCGTCCGTTCCTAACTGCTGTTCTTGCAGATCCAATCCCCAACAAAACAGAAGCTTGCGATGTTCCTAGTTGTTCACGGCATGTAATCAATCATTGAGAAACACTTTGTCTCACTTGGTCATGCCCACAGGATGAGTTGAAGAGTGCACTATTGCACTGACTATTCAATATACAAAGGCACAAATGGAATTATTAGATATTATCAGATTGTGAATCTTTTTTGATGTGGCATCAATTGAATTGACAACGCAGGAAGGCTTGGAATTGAGTTTGCCTTCAAAACACTATGTTCGCTACCAGAAGGCATCACACCGGTCCCAGTCTTAGCAGTTTCACTGCAGATTTCACACCTCACAAGCATCAACGTTTTCGACTAACTCTTTTAAAGGATTCAGAGCTTGCTTGGTCTTGGTATGTTTTGGTGACCATTGCAAATCTGAATTTTCTCATGCATCACCCCTGAACTTCACACAGATTTCTTAGTGTACTCTGGACCGGTTGGTCACAAGTTTCCCGCATCCTGGCAACACTATCCTTGCCCAAGATTTGTATCAAAGTTGTGTGCCGCTGCTTGTATTCAAACATTTTGCATTTCGATTCTACATTTTCGAGTCTTCTAGCATCCCGGTTGAGTGAATCTATCATTGCATTATGTTTCAGTAGAACCTGAAATTTCGTGAAATTTCGCGCTACTGTACAAACAAAGCGCTTTTACATTGTATGACATTTGCGCAAACATCATCTCCACTTGATCTCAGGACACCGTCTGACCAGGCCTGGTGCAGCGGAAATCTATAGCGATTACATCATATTCTTTCGCGGTAATTTCCGGACTAATCTATTTCTGATGACAGTGACATGCAGTGACATGCAACGGCATGCAGTGACGTTGATACAGGTCTCGGAGAAGGACGTCTTAGCCCGTGGACTCACACTTAGGATCACACTTACGTAATCTTACGTATATACGCATACATAAGGTTGAAGACGGATGCCTTATTTTGCTGCTATGTGACATTATGTGACATCAGTTCATCCTGTTTCCAGACTTGGAGAAACGACACCAGCACACATGTGACAAATAAGTGCGTTTGTCAATGGAAAATACTACGTAGAGATTACATGAGTTGACAGCACCAAGTTAGGTCCATCGCCGTTTCGCGATGCAAACTCGGCATTATCAACGAACGGAGCTCAGTTCCTTTCTGTAGCCCAGTCAGTCGAGAGGTTTGATTGTTCCGGATATTGGCAGGATCACGTCAAAACAATGTCAAAACAATGTCAAAACAACCCTGAACAATCCCGAAGATTCCTCAACCATGCAAGCAGAAAACTCTTCTCACACCTTGTGCCAGAGACACGCCTCGGATACTTGCGCTGGTAGTACTATGTAGTACTAAAGATGACCTTGGTATACCTTGGTTCTGATCTCTGGGTATCTCTGGGTCGCATATACTGTACAACTCACTCAAAACAAAGGGAACGTACCAGTTACTGGCAGGCAAAGGCAAGCTCACTGCACGCCAGAATAATTACAACAGTTGTGTATCCTGGTACGGAATGTGCTTACTTCACAACATTGCTAAGATCAGGACGGTGACATATACTGGTTTGGTTTGAGTGTTTGCTATCGGGCTGTTCGCATGCCTTATCATGCTGCAGAGGGATACTGCAGGTCATGTGTTCGCTGTCAATGTTCAGAATCACATCTTCCAGATATTTACAGCACACGTGCAGACAGTTTAGAGATGTTTGGAGTATGTTTAGGGTATGTTGGGCATTACCAAGGACAGTCCCGACGGAGCCAGTTCAGACGCCTCGGACGCCACTCGTCGAATCCAGGACTTCCTGTCAACAACTCGTCAGAATTGTCAAAGATCATCAAAAATCAGTTATCAATTCGCATCAGTTCATGCATTGTCTTCTGTTGATTTCTGTTGTCATGGTTGATGTCTCATGGTGGAGAAACTCTCAAACAAAACTGTGGCTACAGCTGCTATGTGGTGCAGGCCGTACACACCTCCATACACCTTACGCGGCACTGGCACTGCTTCGAGCTTACTGGCAACTCAGAGGTTCACCATGCAAGGGATGCAAGATTGATCAAGATTGATCGAGATTGATCGAGATTGTGGAGTTGGTACTCTACTGTCTGCTTTGCTTCCGCTATGTTCAGTCTAGCTTTATCAGGCCGGGAGACATCAACCACTCCCCAGAAATCTTGAAAGGCAAGGGGCCTCGAAGGATGTCCTGAGATCAAGTCTTTTCCTAGGCGGACACATCGCAACTGATTCTTATTGCATATTTTTTGGTGAATTGGCATGTATTTCATATGAGCAACCGTAAAAACCCCGGCAATAGTAAATATGTATTCGACGGACATTGGTTTATGAAAATTGATGGAAATTGCTAAAAACACGAGGTAAGCGATGGGACCTTCCCAAATTAGCGATACCCCTTTTCAAGGTTATGTCATCATATTTCTCTAATATCCACATTAGCGATACCCAAATATCACATATTAGACATATTATTCATAGTTCATCACATATATATATATAAATGCAGCAGTTTCCTGCAAGCGATACCCCCCAAGTTTACCATATATCATTATTGTACAAACGTGTGGTAAGCGATGGGACCTTCCCAAATTTGTGGATGTCCTTTCCGTGAACCTAGGGTTTTCACAATCGCTCATATATACTCGGATTATACTCGTATCTTCATTTTCGTTCTCAGTGTCACTCCTATTTCCGCCTGCGTTTGCCGAGGATCGATTCCTGTCAAGTTGATGTCATTCTCACAAATGGTTTCAAATGTGTTCGTATCCTTTTGCTTCCAAACAAATCTCCCTCGTTTTGGAATTAATTGAGGAATTGTTATTGTGTCACAAAGGTGCGCACATGCTACTTTTATCTACTTTTCTTGTCAGGCCGGGATCTGCCCAATTGCGATCCATCAGGCCATCCATACACCAGACCCGATCACAAAAAGAGAGCTGACAAACTCTGTGAAAAAGGAGTAAAAACAAGACGCACTTCAGATGCACACAATCGCAGGCCACTTTCCTTAGTTTCTCTTTGTTTGGGACGATTTGGGACGACTAGGACGATTCAAACACTTGAGATACTGAGATACTTGAACTTCCTCTTCAGGATGTCGTTTGATGAGACGCAGCGGCCAGCATCTACCAATTAGAGCTGCACTGTAGCAGACAGCATGTGCGCAGCACTGCAGGGCACTTCCAGGAACACTTCGGTGTTGCTAAGAGCACTTCCCTGCACTGAGCCGATCTTGTTTAGCTCAACAGATGTCTTGGGCAACTTAAGTGGCGTATGTTCCATTTACTCCGTGTAGCACCACGCAGCATCCTTATCATGAATTGTGATCAGTGCGCCTTTCTAAACTGTGTGGTCTTCCTTTGCTTCTGAAGCCTCAGTGATCCTCAATGCATTGTCTGAAATCTCCTGCAACATCGGTTTCAAATAGGGTCGGATGCAAAAACGAGAATCTCCTGCAAGATCGATGTGTTTTCAAGACAAGAGTCAATACGCAGTAATGAATCACAGAGCCCATCTGAATTGTGAGCCATGTGAACACCGCATGGCCGCATGGTTCCTGCGCTTCGCTTCGCAGTTCAAAAAGGCGACAAAGTAACGCCGAGTGACTACATGGACTGTCTCACAAGCCGGCAGATTCAGGCTGATGAACTGCGAACAAAATGAACTCCAAATCATGCAAACCATGAAACGGTAGTATCATTTGTTCTTTGCGAGTCCCAGGATTCTCCCAAAAAAGCTTGACTAATTTGACTGTAGGAAATGTATGGAAATGTAAGGACACTGATGAATGTCGTCAAAGTAGATTGTCCCGCAAAAAGGGCTTTGGGATGTCTGCTATTTGAGGTTCAACTTTGTGACAATTACTTGCCTGAGCTTTTTTGGCTTGGAGGCGCAACAGTGATCAACAGTGGATGTCACTATTGGTAAGGATATGGAAGAATTTGTCGAACTCTGCAGTGTTTGCTGCGCAGGTTGTTTTATCTTCTTTCTGCAAGAAGGACGTTCTCACGTTGTGGCGGATCTGTTCAGTTTAGGTTTCAGTATGTTTCAATGTGTTTCAATCATGTTCGCAATCACTGTCGTGCACTGTCTGTGATATGGAACAGGACTACTTTCTTGGCTTCTTCTTTACGCTGGACTGCGTGTCCACAGCTTCGCTCATCTTGGACTTGACATGGGTGCCGCAGCCGCACAAGTATTCCTGGCTGCTAAGGGATCAAAGGGATAGAAGATTCAGAGCTCAATTCCACTGGAGGCAAGCAGTATACTCTCTGATAATCTCTGACAATTGTGTTTTCCTGCGCAATTTAATTAGGTCCTCCTCTTTCTTTGTTATTTTTAAGTTCTTGTTCGACCTTTGTCCTCTCGTTTATTTGGGTAGAGATAGTTGGTTGGTGCTGACAGAGCGCAGAAGCCTCTAATAGTGCTAGGCCCTTTCCAACTACACTGAACCTTGTCTCTGTGTCACCTGACAAGGTTGCAGACACGTTGGTCTCAGATGACATGGCAATGGGTGACAAGGCACCACCTCCAGTTTGTTTCTTTCATTGGCATTTCCCGTTACAGGGTTCGATGCTTCTGCACATTGTTTACATCTGTTCGCTATTTTTCTTGAGAGCAGCTGCTGCTGATTGCATGCGTTTTAGCTTGGCTGATTTCGTTTTCGATTTCTGATACGAGAGGCACGAGGCGGAAGGACAGCGAGACTAGGAGCGCAACGGCCCAAGTGCAAGTACTGTGATGTAAAGCATACGTACTGTCCGTACAAGTCCGTACAAGTACTTTGTCCATCTTTGTTCATCTTTGTCCTATGAGCCAAGTGGAGAGTGTAGGCAACATTAGGCAACCCAAGCAACAAAGGTGCAGCAGACAGCAGAAATAGTTTTTTCTAGAAGGAGAGTTCTACAAAGAGACGAGGACCACGGATGAACGAGTCGCCAACCACACAACATTTTCAGACCATTGTGTCTAGTGAGTGTAGTGGTGGTTCAGTTCATTCTCCCAAGGTGAATTGAAACAGCAAAGTCTTAGAACAGGTCCACCATATGGATGCATATTCTACATGGGTTGAGCTGATTGAGCTGCCTCTTCAGCCTTCCATCCGCCTGGAGTCAAGACTTGTTGGCAAAGCCATACTTCAAGCTTGACAATTAACTTTCACTGAGCAACCCCCAGCCACCGCAAATTTGTGGCATTCTGCAATTCTTGGATTCATAGCAAGGAACGTATACCTGAAGGACTGCGTGACAAAGAGATAAACTCAAAGATGATACTGACCCATCCACGCAATTCCATGCTACTGTAGCAAGCTACTCCCAGAGAGCCCTTGCAAGACTACATGGCACATGTCTTGAGAAGCACTGAATAAAATGCCTTGAGCTCCGCCAATGATTTGATTTTGATTAGATATGCCGTATATGACGTAGAGATACGTAGAGAACGAAAGCATTCTCCACAACAGTGCAACTACTTAGCAACTACTTACTAGATGACTCAGCCAGAAATATATATAGATAGAAATAAAAACTATGCTTTGCAAATGTTTGCAATGTCACAGTTGCTTCTTTTCCGGGTTGGTGGCATTTGAAACGATTGAAGACAATATCCTTGTCCCTTTCAAGGTCAGTCGGACGAGTTGTGCGCGTCATCCGCCTTGTTCGAATTGTGAAACTGTACAAGGCAGGCTGATCTCAGTTACAGGTATTGGACACTTTACTTAGCTTGTGTTATTTACAGGCAATAGGTAAACTGAGAGATCTCATGAGATTTGCATGGCTTGTATTGTCCTTGTAGGCCAGAGCTTTCTTGGACAAGCAATGACACAAACGTCTTATTACGTCTCCACCATTTGCTGCAACAATCTGCACTGTCTGTATGTAGCTTAGTAGATGGCCGTGCATATTCATACGCACCCCCACAACCTACCACTTACTTTGTTTGAATTCCGCAAGGCCCCGAACTTGTGCTTTGAATAATCTTGAATATCTTACATGTTGCCCAGAATCACAGATTGTTCGACATGCTCCGCAGGCTGCTTATGAGAGACTTGGTCGCGAACCCAAAAAGACTCCTAATCAGCAAGGAAGCTCAGTCTCCAAGCCCAAGATTAGCGGATGGCTTGCACGCTCTTTGATTCAACCAACGTATTCGTCAGAAGGCAGTCGTTCGATGTTGCTTGTACTTTGCAGGCCAGGCGATGAGACCGTCATAGCACCAGCCTCAAGTGTAAGTTTTTTTTTGAAACGTGGTCATGTGTGGACATAATAATATCAGTGTGCCTGGCCAAATCAGCTAAGCACGATGAAACATCACGCAAGGGCAAGATTGTGCTTTGACTGCATGAACACGGAAGCTTTTGGACTCAAGTGATAATCAATCAATGATGTTACACAATGATACACTATTGATTCAATATGAGTATATAAACAATCAATTTGTATCAATTTGTTCACTGAATGTGTTTTCCTTGATGTGTTCTGTCCATTTCTGTCCTTTGCCAATTTTATAGTCTTTGCAAGAAATTTGCTAAGGATGATTGGGACAATCCAGAGCAAGAGGAAGCGCCAGAGAAGAAGGCGGGAGACGCAGGGGAACGGGGCAGCCCAGCCGATGAGCCTTGCCGTCGAAGATTGAGACAACCGGCGAGACATACTGAGTCAGTCAAGTCAGTTGAGATGTTGCAGTAGCATACATCTAGAGTTGCTATAAGTTATTAAGGTACAGTAACAGAGTCTCAGAACTCAGAACGTCTCAGAATGCCTCAGAATGTCCAAGAATGTTTAGAAATGTTTAGAATGTCTGATCAAGATGTTTGATCAGAAGTATTTTGCAAAGACTATTTTTGACTTTCTCACACCAGCTCATGTCAGGACAGACGTGAGGAGCTCAAAGCTGAAGAAAGCCAAAAAGCATTTAATTCTCGATCAGGACAAGAAACGGGGCCAACTTTGGACATGTTTGGATCAAAAACGATTTTTTGACATCCTTTAGCATCTTGTTACATGTTTTCACCATTATATGGACGGCGGTTCGAAATGGTTTCAGACGTTTTCCATCACTTCTCTTAGTGAGGGCGGATGCGGAGAGATGGCACTGTCTTAGGCGAGAGCGCAGTTGGGCGGAAGCTTGTTGCCCTGACAACCCGCCGCGTCATCATTCTCGTGCGCCGCCGTCGCGCCATGTTTTCCCTCATGGAAGTTCCTCAAGATTTCCATAGATTTCCAAACTCAATCCATGGCTGATCCAGTAAGCTTAGGCACAAGCAGACACAAGCTTTATCACCTTTATCAAATCTTTATATCATCTTTATCAAATCTTTATCAAATCTTTATCAAATCTTGATCAAGCTTTCAGTTTGGTCACTGACGGCCTGAGTCTTTCTTACAGGTACTGGTGATGTTACTTTGCATGCCCGTCGCGACCTTTTTGGCAAAGACTTGAGATGATGCGGCAGACATTTTGCATTGTCTGCCAGTACCTTTCCGATGCTCACGAGGCATTTATTGTCAACAACTATCACCCAGATATGAATGGCCCTCAGTGGTTGGTGGTGCTTTTGACTGAATCTGTCAAAATCGCTGACATCACATCTGCCCCTTTTGAGGACATCAGCATCCTATGGTGCTAATACCGTCTTCGAGAAGTTTGTGCCGAAAGCTTGAACCCTTTCTTGTGCCACACACTGTCCAGTTGAGCATTGCGGATGCAACGCAACATGTAATAAAAAAGAATAAAAGAGAGTGTGCACCCGCACCCGCGCACACACACATACACACAAAACCTGTACGGTTGGTGTCGCCTTCGTTCAGATCCGTCAAGAACATGGATTCGTGATCATTCGTGTGGATTTTGAGCCTCGTGCCACGTTGATAGTACCTAAGAACTAATATTACATTATATTGCATTATATTATATTACATTATATTAGATTATAGCATCAACGATATTACATTACATTACATTATATTACATTGCATTACATTACATTGCATTACATTACATTATATTACATTACATTATATTACATTACATTACATTATATTACATTATAATACATTATATTATATTACATTATATTATATTACATTACATTACATCATATTATATTATATTACATTATATTATATTACATTATATTATATTACATTATATTATATTATATTACATTATATTATATTATAGTACATTATATTACATTACATTACATTACATTACATAAATTACATTACATTACATTACATTACATTACATATATTACATTACATTATATTATATTACATTACATTACATTATATTTCATTACATTACAGTATATTACATTATATTACATTATACTATTTTATAGTGTATTATGTTATATTATATTTTATATACGACATGTTGTTTCATGTGCTACAATGTCGATTCTTACATAGCTAGGAATTTTGCTACGTATATTTATATGTGTATACCTATTGAATCGGCCTTGGGTGGCTGTAGCTAATGACTGAAAGGCACATTGAACTTTGGATCGCAGTCCATGATATTATGCAGTCGCCCAAAACAATATACATATACACAGTTGTCATATTCATGACGAAATTTGTATTGTACTTACGGCCTGTTGATGGGAAAGTCCTCATGTGGATGAGGCTGCCGTTTTTGTCCTGTGGTTCAACATGGTTCAACTTCTTGCCAGCGAAGTGCTTCCAACTGGATGATGAGACTCTGAGTCCTCCCACAAGTGACTAGAATCCTCCGCTTGTACTCATGAATCACGCATGTGTGCAATCAAGGCATGGAGTCGCATCGATTTTGATGTTTGCAGTCAATTAGGTTGGCAAGAGCTCTCCAGCGGGGTTCGCTTTTTGTGCCTATTCCTTGCGGAACCTATTGGAAATGCTTACAGTTTGAATTGGCTTGTTGGCTTCGATGGCTTGCGTGTCTCAGAAAAGCAGGCTAAAGATGGCTAAAGATCAGATCGGTATTTGTTAGGTTTGGGCCAGGGTTGGGGTTGGGGAAGTTCTTTTGTTGCAGGGTTCAGCTTGTGGCCTTGTGCTTGTGTACAGTGCTGCCAGTGACGGAAGCTTGCTTGGTTGCAGAAATCCTATGTCTACATATTTTCATGTGACCTCCCCATTCACTTTCCAAAGATCCACCTTTCGTGTCCCCCTTCTAAAAAGTTGCACCAAGAGTCTCTGAATTGTGTTGTCCTAACCTCAAAATATAACGGTCCTCCATACCATTGGATCCATTTGACGTGGTAGATGTGACCATGATGTGAAGGGGCCACATCGACTCCCGTGCATAGGAATTACTAGTATGATCGAAGGCCTCGACGACTGTACGAATTTGTACATTAAGACACAGCGCAACACACTGCACCACCGTATTGATTGATCGTGAGCTGGATTGTCCTTGTTATAACGGGTTCCAGTATCATGCTGTACCAGCACCTGCCATAGCAGTCACAACAGCCACCAAACAAGAACCACAACGAATCGAAGCCAATAACGACAAAGACGTGGAAGGCCGGAACCTCACTCCCCTGCTCCCCCTGCAGCAAATTCTCTGCAATACCGCCAGCAGCAGTACAAAACACTGCAACTGCACGGAATCTGCCAGTGACAGCGGAAATCCAGGGCAACACTTTCAGCCATACTGCAGTACGTTTGAATTTTCCCACTTACAAACATGAAATGCAATTTGCATCCTGCAACCTTGAGTTGCGTCTCGCAATATGTAGGTTTGCAACACCACTTTTGTGCCTCCTTGCTATTCTACTAACTTTGTGATTAAGGCAAATGCGTTCTGGTGCAAACCGAACACTCTACGAGCAGTCCATGCTCAAGTCCGTCCCTCAGACCGGTGTTTGTGTGTGTGTGTGTCTCTGTCTCACTCGACATGGGAGGAGTCGCTCAATCGTCAATGAACATATTGAACATAGCAGTGTCTTGGTACAGCTTGCGGAAAAGTTGTCACTATGGAACACATACTGAACCGAATGTTGATACTAGTCGCAAATAGTGAATGAGATACTGAACCAATCTGCACTTGCGAATGAGAAAGCGCTGAGATACATGTACTACCACAACTGGTGGGCCAGACACGTTGAAGCGAGGGCAAGCTGATTGCTGGCTGGACAGTCTTGCCCTCTCTCATGCCAGGTTTTCCGGCAATGCTCCTTGTGCAAACAATGAAGCTTGCCCAGCCTTCTTTTTCAGTCATGCATTCTGGGCAGCAGCCTCAGTGTAACACTGAAAAGCATAGAAACAAGAGAGGCACAGGTCTTTCCAGGTTGAACCATGGGGACCAAGCATTCTCCGAACATCTCTGAACTTTGGTGCAAAAGGCAGGCTTCTTTCCTGCAGCGTCTTGCCACAGGTTGGGTTCTCTGGGCGCGACAAGACCTTTGAGCAGCTAAGAGACTTGACGGCGGAGGTCAGAATCTTCAAATTATATAAGCAAATTTAAATGCAGTTGAACTGGAGCAGCTACCTGTTGCGGATGTGACTTTCCATGTTCTGACGTTCTGCTTTTGGCTTCTGAATTGTATATCTTGAATATTCTTGAATTCAGAGTTGTTTATTATTGTTTATTTATGTTTGTTTACACTGTACTGTACCTTCGGATTTGCCAGTGAATTGCACTGGCATGGCTTTCCGTGGTCCTTCTTATGTTTGTTGCTATCCAACCAACACTTGATGATTTGGGATGATTTCGGCATCTTTTTGCAACGTGTATGTACCGTCATAACATGTTGTGTCATGCAATGTCATGTCATGAACTGTACTGAACTGCAATGTAATGTACAGTAGTGTAATGTATGCTGTATGTATGTGTTAAGATGTTTTCTTAAAATGATATGTAATTATATGATATTGTCTTAGATTTTTTTTTATTGTATTAGATAATATTTGGTCTTACAGTACGTATATATATATATAATACATACAGTATATCATTTTATATTACATTATATTGCATTGTATAACATTATATTACGTTACACTACATTCTACTATATTACATTGCATTACGCTATATAGCAACTAATAGTATATAATATGATCTTATATCATGTAATCTAATATATAATATAGCATAAAATACTATGTAATACAATATAATAGATGATATGTTATGATATAATATATGATATAATTTCTAATATGACATAGATAATAACATACAATCTGATATGATAACATGTAATGTAATATGATATGATATACTATGTTGCAATACAAGATAATATAATATACTATAATATAATATAACGTTATATTGTAATGCAATGTAAAATAATATGGTGTATTCGAATGCAATCTGATAAGAGACAATAATATAATAGATATAATATAATATCATACAATGTAATATGATATAATACAATATCATGCAAAATATGGAATGCACTATAATACAATAAGATCCAATCTAATTACAACATAATGTGATAGAATACAATACGCTATAATATAATACGATATAAGTAAATGTAAATACATCACACGGATGGTTTTGTGTTGTAGTTCTGCCTGTCCGGATTTCCCCGACCCGACGGAAGGCACTGTTTTTTATGACTGTGTACAGGCCGCTCTACATAGAGACACCGTCACAGCTTGGGATTCCTATGCTTTGAGCATGTCAGAGAAGAACTTTGTGGAAGTCTCAGTTCAAACATTAAGACATCGACATCGATTGACAGCAAAGTGTTGCTATTTATATAATTGCAGGAGACCAACAAGCTTTGTAGATTTGTATGTAGGTAGCCTCACCTACCGCAACAGCTAATTGTGTTTTGATTTGTGACAATCGAGGCAACATACTGTACATCGAGTTGTAATTGATTCAGCTTTCATATATCCAGATGACGCAGTCACGAAGGATGAGTCCATTCCTTGTGTGCTCGTGAGGTCTATGTAACAGGTGACCTTCCATCAGAGGCCCAGTGAATGTACGCGCAGATTGTGAGAGCTTTAGGGGTTACACCTGGAGAGTTTATCTCAAACCGCGCAGGCGCAGGACTTGCTCTCAGGGAACTGGTCCATTGAGTGCAAGGCAAGGGACCAGAGACATCCAGAGACTTGGCACAGATGAACAGAATGTAACAGTCTCAACAGAGAACATCACAGAACATTTGAACAACATTTAAACACATGTATATGAGATTCCGTCAAAATTTGCGCTGATTATGTACTGGGTGTGCATCGGATGTTGGCTGTTGCATGAAACCTGCTAAAAAAGAGTCTACTGGGCTGCTCAAACTGTGCTGGGTCTTTGTATGCGTGCGTGTGCACAATCTGTCGCAGTATGGCGGCTGGAATCATGTTGGCACATCACTCCTGTCTTCGGCCTATAAGGACAACGTCTTGTGTGGAGAATCTGGGTGGAGCATGTTTTTTCGGTGTACAAACACATTGGCTGGCAAAAGCAAGTGTTCCCTTGAACTGTCCATGAGCAGGACAAGATAAGCTATGAAGTGAAGTCTTGAGCCAAGGAACATGTATGACATGATGAAAAACTGTTCCCACTGGCAAGACGTTTTACTGCAAGAACGCGTGAAGACAAGTTTCTCATTCTCCCCAGAAACTCTTGTAATCCTTAGCCGAGCCTTGGGCCTGTCAAAGGGACATGCTGTAAGGATGCACACCATTATGATCCATTATGATCCATTATGTATCTCAATGTATCTCAATCTCCATCAATGCAATTTGTGGATTTCTAGTGATTCTAGTGTCATTCACAGAGAGAAAGGATACTCAACCATGGCACAAACAAAAAAGTAGCAGAGGTTGATGCTTGAATTGAATGCTCACACTGGCAAATATGATGCAAAGATGATAAAGTATGCTTCACCCAGGAAGCGCACGGCACCGAAGATTTATACAATATTCTACATTATTCTACAATCTTTAAGGGCAAGAGGTAGCAAGTAGCAAGTGAGAGAAAGGTTGCACCGGACAGTCCCAGTAGTTAAAAATAGTGTTCAAATACGTTCCAATGTTTTCAATGATGTTTTTGTGTCCTTGCGAAACTGCCCGGATTCGATGCAAGGGCTGGACTTCCTGCTATTGTAACTTGTAATCGTCAATGGCTTGTAATTGTACCGGCCTCCCTTAACTGTCATTGAGCATAGCTGTAGGAAACTGGACCGGAAGTCGAGGGGTGACATACTGTAGCTCTTCGAAGCTCTTCATGTTCTTTATGTACGGAACGAGTCCCTTCAGGCCTCCCACGTGCCACTGAGAGTAGCTGAGTAGCTCTGCCCCCGATCTTGAGGTGCCCAGACGATTTGCGGCCGCAAGAACGCTTTACCATCCGACCAACTCTCATCACGCAGCCCCTCGATCAGAACTTATCAGAACTTATCAGAACTGTCCTTGCAGCATGGATTCAGCATGGAGTCTTTTGTAACTTTAGTATTTGATCGTGCTGACCTCAGGCATCAGTTCGAAGACTGGCACCTGGCCTTCTTTTTTGATGCCAGGTCCGCCTTTGCTACCGAGAGCTGCACAGTTTGTTTTTCACCATGAACTATCAGGAAATCACTGATACCTGATACTTGATATGTGTCATTCCATTGCACTCAAGTTGCACCACCATCCCTGTCATTCCCCGTCTCTCTTGCATCTCGGTATCACGTTTATTCTGCCAAAAGCCTGTGTGACAAGTGACAGGCTCGCAGCAAAGCCTAAACGCAACTGTTCATGACGTGTCGCTCTGGTCGTCATCTTGTATCAGTGTATATAGATCTCGTTCGCAAAAGGTTACACAGCCAACAGAATGTATCTATATTTAGTTGGCCTTTCATATTGCAACTGCAAGCATGCTCCGTAGCAAGAGCTGAAGCAGGCCGTTTGTCAAACAAGAGTCCCTCTTCAACATTATGCTGACAGTTTGAGCCTCGAGTCAAAATGATATTTGTCAAAAGCAAACATTATCAAAATCATCTGCCTTCCGTACCGTGAATGTCTGAATGATGGATCTTTACACACACGTGCTAAAAGGGTGCCTCAACCATTGAAATCGTGGCAAATAGCTTGAGATCACTTCACTCCAGAAGTCGTGCCTTTTCCAAAAATCGACAGTAAATGCATGTGAACGCAATGATTTGCATTGATGCGCTCAGCAATATTGCTTCGTTGAGGCGTTTATTTGCCTGGTCTTGTGTGGAGCATCCATGCAGTTCTCCAAGGTTGGCCACTCAAGACATCAAGTGAAGCAATGTCTTGCGTCCAATGTTTGTCTAACCCATGTCTAATGCATGTTTTCAGTCGCTTGGAATAGCTTGAAGGGAATAGCTTGGAGTTGTTCTTTTCCAGGCTCCTAGATTTCTCATGAGACGGATCATGTTGCTGTCCATCTACCCGTCTCGTGCAGGATGCAAATAATTTAGTTTTGAGACCTGTGGAGCGGATGATTGAAAAGGTGCAGCACCCAGTGGTCCTGTGCAATGGCACTAGTGACATCCCCCTGTTGTGGCACTTGCAGGTCGTGCCTCTTTTCTGTCTTTATTTCTTTGGATTTTTGTTGGAACAGATTTATGAAGATATAACTCTGTGTGCGTGTGCCAAAATTGCATCCTATGCAGGTCAATCTGATCAGAGACAACCCCTTAGCCGCCATGAAGATGGCGGATGATGAATTCAAGGCTCCATTGATACTCTAAATCTGCGATGTTTGCGCAATGTGCTTAAGGTGTTTACTGTGATGGTCGGCATATCTCGAACCATTGTGCTGATCAGTCAGACTATGACTAGCTCATTGCGGACAGGGTGAAGAGATGAAGAAGTTTAGGGACACCAACAACAGGCAAGCAGCAAAGTGGCAAATTGACATAGACGACACGGATTGTTGATCCGTGTCAATCCTCCTTTTTTGTTTCGCACGGTGAGCATGTCACATGAAAGCAACATTGGCGAATTCTATTCTCTTCAGACCTTGCGCAAGCCTAGGGAGAAACAGCATGTTTGGCTGGAGAAGTACCATATGGGATGGTTGTCTTGCTGGCATGCTTGCAACTTGACCCTGTTGGCATCGCAACCAAATTTGCTGACTGATTCACTTTCTGCTGCCAGGTCCAAGACAATTGGGTGGCTTACTTTCAAAGGCCGACAGCATTGACACTGGAATGTCCAAAAGCACATCTCAGTCATGCCATTGCACTGACGTCTCCTTTCGGAGGCCATCAAAATGCATTAAGATGAATTAAGCTCTTTCAAGATCTTTCAAGATCTTTCAAGTTCGCAATATTTCGCAATGCTGTAGCTTGTGGAGCCGTTGTACATGTCTTCATGCTATTGGAGGCCCCATTCGGGAAGATGCGTTCGATCCCCAAAGCCGAAGAGACCCTACAAGCTGCAAGAGGGGAGGCTCCATTGAGGTTTTGTTTTGTTCAGGATGATGGAGACTGCCATTCTGGAGAAGACAATCATAAAGATGCTTGGCGTCAATACTGCTTGATACCATTTGATGCCATTTGATATTAGTACATTGCAGCCTTCAAGTTTCTTGCAAGTGAAGCAGCACTTGCAGCATCTAATCCAAGAGGTGCCTTGCTCAATATGGTGCGTCATGTTTCCCAGTTTTGCATCAAAAAACGAAACATGAAGCCTGCAAATGTGTTCGATGTTCTCAGAGAAAACAACGCTGTATAGTAAAGATACTATTGAAGCCTGAGGCTCGGGTCTTTGCTGGCTTTGGGCTTCGGGGAGGTTCATATCACAAACATTGAGGAAATCACAAGTCTAGCCTAGTCTAGCTTGATGTGCCCTAGAGTTGACAATTCACTACCAACATCTACCAACATTTAATTTGTTGATTTTGTTGCTGTGCAATCTGTACAACTTGCTGATTTGTGCGGTCTTTATGCCTCTTAGTGCCAGATGTGTCAGATTGCAGCACCTTCTGCAGGCTGGCGCACGCATTGTGGCAGACAACATGCAGGGCTTGGACTCTGCAGGTGTTAATGCAATGGTGCCAGGCCTGAAACTGTCAAAATTCTGCATCAGGGGACATCAGAGGACATCAGGGGACATCAGAGGACATCAGGGGACATCAACATTATGAAAATTATGAAAGGAATGTTGTTACTCGGAATGTTCATCAATTTGTTCATCAATTCAACATCTAGCTAATCTAACTTGTCCTGTTGCCAAATTGTAGCCAAATGTGGTCCAGAGTCCAGATTGCGCGCGCAGAGTGAGTTAACATCACGCTGCAATGGCATTCAGGCATCATTGAGAAAACATTCCGCACATTCCTGATGCATCCTGCAGCGTCTTCCTTGATACTCAATGCGTGATCTCATGCGATTCCGTTATATTCCATTGTCATGTGATATTACTTATGATATGTTCTGATATTACTTCTAATTACAGTGTATAATTTTGTATAATTGCAATGCAGGCAGAAGGGTGGACTGCATCATCGGCTCTGCCTGTATTCGCGACTTTAGCACCGCGACAGAGGTGCTGCAAGGAAAGGCTGGGGCCACAGGGCCACAGCTCCATCACCACCTCTTCAAGGCTACTTTTCAGGGGGCCATACCAAAATGATCCAAAATGTAAGATACGTTAAGATACATTACAGTAATTGTTACATTAAGAATATTAAGATACGTTTTTGGGGACCCCTCCCCTTTAAATGCAAAATTGGTCGCTGAACGTCCCTGAGGTGCCCTTCTGGTGGGGAGGGTTTTGTTAAATACCGTCAAAATGTAAACTTACATTTTCAAGGTCCCCCTCAAAAACACCTTGAACAATGTATTTTACATTTGGGTATGGTCCGCCCCCGCTAAAAGGGTAGTGATACAGCTCCAACGTCTGAGTTCCACGAATCGCTAATTGACCAATGTGCAGCTTCTACAGGAATATTTCAGCCCCAAAGAAGCGACACATTCTGTGGGAAAAAGTTTCTCCCAGTGAACGGACTTGGCAAATAGAGCAAAGAGCAGACATCAGAGTATGGTGTGGGTGCCAGTCAATGCCTATGTTTTTTCCTGGTGTGGCCTGCTGTTTGTCACTGAGGTTATGACATTTGTCAACCAGATTGCTGAGATTGTACCTTGCTTAGTGACACCTGCGCATCGTCGTGCACATTGGTGCATATTCTTGACTCTTTCCATTAAGTGATGCCAGGATTTTGTTGCTTTTGTTGTGTTTCTCACAGCCGGCACTTTGCTTCGCAATCAAGGTTCATGGGCTTGTGTGCGAGTTCCATGGAGCTCCAAATAAAAATAGTGGTGCGCTCCTAAGACTGTTTCAGCAGATTCCAACTCGAGCAATTCAGGACGTGCTTATGATCTTTTACTGTAATATCTTTCATGTATCTTTTTGATCGCTTGCATTGACTTGTATTGCCACGGAGCTTTAACATGATTTGGCGAGGAATTTAAAGTAATTTAAACTACTTAAACCATCTTAAACCATCTTAAACCAGCTTGCAAGTATGTATTTTACTTAGCTTGGAGATTCTTTCGGATGCTTTCGAATGCTTTGTGTGTTTCAATGATAGAGAAGGTCCGCCTTTTGGCCCCGAGGTGACAGATTCCTCCTGATTTGGAGACTTGGGAGCACGGACCTTGGCGATCAGAGCAGATGTCCCGTGTTGGCCAGGTCAATTGGATTCAATAGGATTCAGTAGGATTCAGTAGGAGCAATAGGCCTAGTACATCCTAATACAGTTGCACAGGCCTCATTACACTTCGTGCATGTTCGTACATGTTGCACGTACCACAGGGATCAGGTACAAATGCAACTCACCCCTTGCCAACTGGACACCAGCTAGAACTTTCTCAGATTTCACTATCTTTCGGCAGTTCCTAATTTTCCTCTGGGAGAGCAACCGAAGGACCTGGGATTTGCTGGAGTCGTTTGTTGAATTCAATTCAGGCCTGAATAGCCAGCAGCAGATGCGCTTGGCTGATATGGCAATGGTGTCATGCATTAGGACTGCAATGGTGAGAAAAGCAACTGGTCATCACTCAATTGGGGGCGGAACCTAATCTGATTGGGACTTGATCAAGTTGAGAAGTTTCAGATTTTCCAGATTCAAGCTAGTTCAAATTCAGCAGATTCATGTCAACGCAATATGCAGATATACAAGATGAGAATAGATGAGATACATGCAGAAGTTGTTCAAAATTTGGTCGGCGTGAGGATTCTGGGCTGTGCGCACAGCAACAGAACTCTTGCTGACTATCGTACCCACCCAGGTGGATCCCTCAGCCCATCACAGCCCATCACAGCCCAAGGTTTGTGAATCCATAGAGCAGCATTGACAGCACCATTGGTATTTGCATTTTCCCTTGAACATGCATCATACGTCAGCTTCAAACTGTCAGATCTGTCAGCAACCTGGTATTTCTTTCCAAAGAATACCCAACCGAAGCATATCGAAGCACGAACCAAGGACTCATACAAAGACTGGGCGCGAACTGCAGAGTGAACCTTAGTTTTGGACTTCACCGCGGCTGGGCCATCGAGGCTCAACCCATCTCAACCGACGCTGACGAGAAAACAAGACCTGTAGCATTTTGTAGAATTGCATTGCAATGCATAGCATATATAGCACTGTACCGTAGTACACTGGTTGTCTTGCAATGAGCAATTTTGGCAATCTGAGTCTTTACTTTACACATCTGTCTTCATGTTGTATTTATATCCCCTTACCAGTTTCCGCCAGAAAGTCTAGGGGGTCAACCCCCCTGTAAGCCTTCATTTCCTAGTCATCCCAGGTTTGTATTCTGGGGATCGGCTGCTTTCATAGGGGCCTTAATTTTCTAGCGTGGCTATTTTAAGCACCTCAAAGTTGACAGAGCCTAACTTTCTGGCGCGGAAGATGCGGATTTTACGGACCCAATTTTGGGGAGTCAGCCTATGAATTTCTAGTGGGCTCTGTCTTTCTAGTTTAGTTGAGTTAGACTTATGTTTCTGAATACTGGTTCCCTTTTCCTTAGGAAATCCGGCTCGTTAACTGCCTAACTTTCTGGCGCGGAAGATGCGGATTTTACGGACCCAATTTTGGAGAGTCAGCCTATGAATTTCTAGTGGGCTCTGTCTTTCTAGTTTAGTTGAGTTAGACTTATGTTTCTGAAAATACCGGTGTGAGTTTCCTCTAGGATTTCAGGGGGGTCAACCCCCCTAAGAAGGACTGATAATCTGGCGCGAAAATTCTTCGATTTTGATGAAAGGCTGCTTTTATCAACCCCGTCATTTTCTACAGAACAACTTTTGGAGACCTCTGAGTCGGGAGACCCTGATTTTCTGGGTAGCTTAAGTGCCCAAAATCCAGGAGCATAATTTTAGCATCTCTGGGAGGACGTTCCTAGAGTTTCTAGTGGTCCCTGATTTTCTAGAGGGGCACTGGTAGGTCATTTTGTTTTGTTTAAACATGCTTAAAATCTAGTCCCATCTCTCTCCTGTCCAAGTTTGCAACACTTGCCGCATCTCGCAATTGGAAAACAGCCAATCCGAAGCGCTTGGGCTGGAACTTTGAGTACCTGCGCGTCGCTGCGAGTCTGGTAGATCAGAGAAATTGAAAACACATGAAAATAGATTGGGATTAAAAATGAAATATGATTAATATACAGAAAACTTGTGAAAAATAGTCATTTCGAATATGGATTTTCGAATATGGACCTCGATGCAGGCGCCTAGAAAATGTGGAAGGCACATGTATGGAAAATTGTGGCCTCTAGAGAATCAAGCACTGGATTTGAAACAGCGCGCGTCACTTCTCGAAAATCACATTCTTTCTGAATCATTGTTTGAAACTTCTATGACCAAAAACTGTTGTTTTATAAGGGTACGCCAAAAATATTGAAATATTCTATATTCAAGTCCAAAACGCCTAAACCAGAATTGCGAGTCTGGTAAATCTGAGAACATGAAAACACCTTAAAATACATTGGGATGGGGTTATATAAAAATGAACATATGGAGAACATGTGCACAATGTGAAAACATGTGACGCATTGTGGCAATATGTGAAAATAACAATTTCGAATATAGGTTTTCGATGGTTTTCGAATATGGACCTGGATGCAGGCGTCTTGAAAATGTGGGAGGCACATGTATGGAAAATTGTGGCCTCTAGAAAATCAAGCACTGGATTTAAAACAGCGCGCGTCACTTCCAGAAAATCACATTCCTTTTGAGTCATTGTTTGAAACTTCTATGACCAAAAACTGCTGAAGTGAAAGAAGTGAAAGAAGTGAAAGAAACTGAGGCGGTATGTTTTTGTACAGAGTTGCAGCATGCTGTACGGTAACGACATTTAAATGTGGGGGGCGGGCCAGGCTGCGAAGCCCCGGAGGTAGTATGAAATACCAGCTCGTATATTAAAATATATGAAAATATCATAGTTTATCATAGCAACATGTATCGATATATTTCTGATTGTTTCTGAATTTGAATTCATGGCGACTATTGGCTGGGAAGGGCTCATTTTGGAGGACGCTTTGAGAGAAGACTCGAAAAAATCGAAAAAAACCAAAAAATCGAATCTCGGGAGGGGGGAGGAGGCCGGGCATGAATGTTCTAGAATATCATAGCTCAGATGTTGATGCTAAATAATTATGACATCAAGCTCCGCATTTTTCGCCGGAGCCCAAGGATCAGATTTGAACTTTCTACCAGATTTTTAGCACTTCAGGGTCTAAAATGCCGTTTTGTATGTGTGCTGATTTTCTAGTGAGGTGGTATTCTTTTTTTTCCAGCTGTGTTTTTCTAGGGTCCAAGTATCTGTTTTCACCTATGTTTTCCCTAGAAAATCAGGTGAGCCAACCTGACCCGGTAAACTCGTAGAAGGATGTATTTATCATATCATTCTTGTTTAAAAACCTGTCCTTTGCAGTGTGACCCGACTTGGATTTTGCAGCACGTGGAAGGGAATGGCAAGAAAAGTTTAACTTCCAGAGGTATGCGTCTTTGGTTGTATGATGTTGTATACTTGTATCTTCTTGTATCTTCTTGTATCTTCTTGTATCTTATTGTATTTTATTGTATCTTCTTGTATCTTCTTGTATCGTCGTGTATCTTCTTGTATCTTCTTGTATATTCTTGTATCTTCTTGTATCATCTTGTATCTTCTTGTATCTTCTTGTATCTTCTTGTATCTTCTTGTATCTTCTTGTATCTTCTTGTATCGTCTTGTATCTTCTTGTATCTTCTTGTATCTTTTTGTATCTTCTTATATCTTCTTGTATCTTCTTGTATCTTCTTGTATCTTCTTGTATCTTCTTGTATCTTCTTGTATCTTATTGTATCTTCTTGTATCTTCTTGTATCTTCTTGTATCTTCTTGTATCTTCTTGTATCTTCTTGTATCTCCTTGTATCTCCTTGTATCTTCTTGTATATTCTTGTATCATCTTGTATCATCTTGTATCTTCTTGTATTTTCTTGTATCTTCTTGTATCTTCTTGTATCTTCTTGTATCTTCTTGTATCTTCTTGTATCTTCTTGTATCTTCTTGTATCTTCTTGTATCTTCTTGTATCTTCTTGTATCTTCTTGTATCATCTTGTATCTTCTTGTATTTTCTTGTATCGTCTTGTATCTTCTTGTATCTTCTTGTATCTTCTTGTATCTTCTTGTATCTCCTTGTATCTCCTTGTATCATCTTGTATCTTCTTGTATCATCTTGTATCTTCTTGTATCTTCTTGTATCTTCTTGTATCTTCTTGTATCTATGTGCATTCTTCGCAACAGGGTGCGGTTGGAAGCGAATTCAAGATTGATGCGTGCTGTTCTCAGACTTGGTTTGCCAGAATTCGAATCCACGGGATAAAGAAAACTTCTGAAACATCCAGCTCTGACAAACTGTCTGTTTCTGAACCTTCGACAGTGCAACCAATGCATGCCTTCTTTTTGGACAATCCGGTTCTGATTGATTTTGCTGGTCTATGTTTTTTCAGATTATCACTTGAGGGCCTGAGCAAACTCAGCTGGGCCCATCTCCAAAAGTCTCCTTGCATTACATAAATTACATACATACCTTTACAATCCTTTACAGACCTTGATGATCCTTGATGCTTTCGACTTTGACTCAGGTGGATGCGAACATTGTGAAATTGATTTTTCTGATTTTCTCAATGTTTTTACATGTTTTTCTTTCTGCACAACATGATTCGCAAAAGCCAATCATCTCAGGTCCTATTTGTCGCCAAACGTAAGCATTGCAGAAAGCCTGGAGCATGCCACCAAGGCTGATTTCGACATCTTTTCAACGTAGCATTCCTTTCAAGGGTCTGAGAATAGACTGGCATGCAATGGCATGTAGCATCACAAGTAGCATCCTGTAGCATCCCTTTTTGTGGAAACGTTTTTCGGGAAGGCAATTTGCACATTTGCATACGTTTGCAAGAATGTGTGAACATGTGCACAAGGCAAAAAAGAAGATCGAGATTACCTACTCCTATCCTGCTCCTTTTTCGTTCTCTGGCAGTGCTCTGGAGGTCTACACGGTGAGCATGCTGGTCTCGCAAGACTGTGTGTCGTTGTGCTCCAAGGCCCGTGATATCTTGTGAGACATTTTTGCCCAAGGCAAAGCTCCAAGTTGGTCTAAGTTGGTCCAAGGTGTAGTCGCCAGCAATCGCTAGACATTGCTGCTACTTTGCTGCTACTGGTAGGACTCGTATAGAATACTAAGCATAGGGCAAAGTCTTAGGCTTAGAATTTAAGGGAGGCTTGGTGGGGGCGCCAGCTATCTCCAGCGCATGTCGCTGCTTGTTGATGAAAGTTGTCCTTCCCGTCTATAGACGGGTTAAGGTCAAGGTCATCGGAGGTTAATCAAGGCGTGTCATCTAATCATATCTAACTAACACATCTTTCAAACCTACTCGTAGATAGCAAACATATCGGGAAATGCTCTTGCTAAAAGCAACACTGTAAGTGACTGCAATTATCTTTAATTGCTTGACTGGTTTGGCCTAATTTAGTAAAATTATTGTTCGAACACCAGGATTGTCCTACCTGCTGTTTGTTCGAATCTCATCAAAGCATCAATTTGAGGTAAGGGTGATCGAATCAAATCTTGGAGCACTTGTTGTGCAGTGAGTGAAGCAATATTCTCGAAACACCTTCACGCCCAGACATCCGGCATAGATGCGCCACGCGGGTAAAAACTGCGTGATTCCAATGTACCTCTGCGAGATCCAACGTTGGTGAACTGTGGCGTTGAATTACTGCCGAGTACTTGTTGTAATTGTGCAAGCGTTCCGAAAAGTCACCTTTCAACATTGTGAGCGCTGGTTTTGGCTAGTCACTGTGGAGTGATTCCAAAGTTCTCAATCATGACAAGAAATTACTATTGTAATTATCATATCATATGATTATTGTTTTGTTGTCTTCCGCACGTTTCATGGTCATTGTTTCCAGGTCTTGGCAAGGCAGTGCAGACTCATTGACAAGGCGGAGAGACGGAAATGAACTGAGTAGAGCGAGCCCGCTGAAGTAACTTCATTCAGTGGGGAATGTATGTTTGAAGTGTCTTGTGTGTGTGTGTGATTGTGTGTGCATGGTTTATATTGGTATATAATGGTATATATTGGTTTATTATTGCATTTTTTGGAGTTTCCAAGCACAAAAGAAGTGCTGAACAGATG